CCCCCCCCCCCCCCCCCCCATTCGTCTTACTGGAGAGCAGCAAATGGAGCCTCCAGGCTCAGCAGAGCAAGTCCTGAGCTCCTTGAAGAAAGGGATCACTACTGTGAATCCTTTCAGTTGTGTTCTCTTCCTCCTCGCTTTCATAAAAGCAGCCTGGTAAAATGAAGTGCAGTATCCCTTCACTGATGGCCTGAGGTTTCCAGGTCCACGCTCTTAATAGGCAGCAGCGTGCCAAAGCACGGTCCTGAAACTCAGGAAGAGGTTTCGTCTCAGCAGCCTCCTGCAGCTGCCAGTTCCCCCCATTACGCAGCCATCGTGGCCAGGCTCTGCTCTAGTCTCGGTCTGCTAATATCAATAACTTTCACCCCATTAACAGCACTTGCCACTTGCTTGTGCTCACCTGTACCTGCGCCTCTCACTTCCAGGACCCAGCAGTGTCCCCCTGCGATCCACCACACGCCAGAAAACAGGCTTCAAAGAGTCTTTGCTGTCCTTTGCAACTTCCAACCACCCTTTCACCAGCCAAAGTGAGCAGCTGAGCTCTGCTGCTCCCAGATAGCTCTGGGGAAACCTCAGATTTTTGCAAGTTTTTTTTATTCAAGAGAAAACAGACTGAGCTACCAGCACACTGAGACTGCCTCTGTCGAACTGATGAATCCTGCTCTAAGGGCAGTGGAAGAAGGAACAGTGGGTGCTGCTTGTCCAGAAACTGGTCGCACCAGGAATCAATTAACTGCTGGTGATTTTAGGCTCTGCTGGAACAGCATGTTAAGGTTACAGTCATTCCTAGTCAAGCCTGTGAATTAGTGGCTGTTCTCCAGGTCCAAATTTCAGACAGTATTCTTGGCTGGTGCAACAAGGTGCAAAGTTGACAAGATGACAAAGTAACCGAAGGAGACAGATGAAAACAGTCCAAGTGCAGCATTGGCTCACTGGTGTCCTCCACACCCAGACCTCACAACTGCGTCCAACTCCTCCCTGGAAAGCAGGCCTGTGTCTGGATGCGTCTGTCAGGTCTCCAGCATCCCAGCTGGCAGCTTCAGTTCAACGTAGCTCTTCTCCTCCACGTGGTTTGTCTGTTCCAGGAGCCATCGTCTCTCCTGGTCACTGACATCCAGCCTCAGCGTCACCTCTTGGAAAACGCTGTTCACAGCAACCTGTATCATACAGAGGAAAAACAGCTCAACCCCAGTCACGAGGCAAACGCTGCTCACGTTCTCTGGGTAGAAAGAAGATAGGCTGTTACCGCACCTCCTTAAAATGAAGCTTTTTGAACATGCAGATACTGGCTTCATTATCCTGACCAATCTTAGCCTCAAATTTGGTGATCCCCAGGTTTCTCACTCCTGCAAAACAAATCGGAAAGAGAAGCATTTCTATTACCTGCTCAGCTGCCACATCTACGAAGGCACAGGACTCCAATTTCTGGGGCAGATGGATCCCTTACTACCCTGCTGTATCACTGGGAATATGTGCTTCTAGATCACATCCCGACTGTACTCCCGTTCCCGTGCACTGAGCCACCCTTACCATAGGACATCATCATCAGAGTTGCCTCCTTGCCAAACCCTCTGCCTCGGTATCTGGGCTCTGAAAGAGAGCGCCACAGAAGTCAGCATCCAGTTATGACAGACAAATCAGCCATGCCGGGTACTTTTCAGAAGAGACTGTGACCCAGCCCAGCAAAGGATGCTGATCGGGGCTGAACAGCCACGGTAAGAGAAGAAAAAGGTGCTGTACATAACATCTGTCTGCGGCTGGCTTTAGCCACAGTGATAGAGGCCCAAGCTAGGAAGCAGAACTTGACCTGCAATCATAATTTCAATCTCGCCCAATGTCGGATCCTCAGTGTCAGTGAGGAAGAGATTCACATCCCCCACCATGCAGTCCTCATCCGCACACGCCTGCCCAGACCATCGCTCCGTGTCCAGCACAATGAATGTGCACTCTGGGGAAAACAAAAACGTAGCAGCATTTTCAGGGCATGCTCAGAATTATTCACAAATTACTGAAGGATGAAATTAAAGGCATGCAACAGACAGTTTCCACATGTTAACAGTAAGGAAGAGCTAATAATTGGGCCTCCCATGTGACGTGTGCCTGCTCCCATCCCTACAGATATAAGAAATACTCCAAAAAAACCCCATTGTGAGGGTGACGTAGACACCCAGACTAGAAACAGCCTATTTAAGGAGTGGGAAAACTTTCACCCCACGACTGAGGTCTCTCTGCTTTGTCTCACTCTGCAGCAAGTTTGGGCAAAGAATTGCTGGGTGCACAAGAGACTGAGACCTAGTGATTCACCTAGTCCATATTATTCCTGCTTTTAGTAAGCCTTTTAATACCAGCTAAGACAAATGCTCCAGACTAAAATCTTTGCCAGCCTCAGTATTTTGCAGCTCACTATATTTCCACCAGGCTTTTATGGGCAGTGATTCATTACCTGTAGGAGAGCCAGGGAACCAATTCAGTCAGCACACCTCAACCAAGTAATTATAAAGTCATTCAATTTCTCAAAGAAAAATACAACCCCCCTTCCACCTTTTTACGACAATCAGACCTGGGGAGTGTTGACTGTGCAGCAGCAGTTCAGCAGATAATGCTGTGAGAAGTAAATCACTGTAATCTTTGAAAAACTGCAAAAAAAGGATACCAACAGCCCTGGACATTCTATATTTCCCTGAGCATCTACCAGCTATAAACAGAAAACCAGTTCAAAGCTACTGTTGTAGAAAGTCTCACATCCCCTCTGCTTCAGCAAGTAGAGCCCACTCACCAGGCACTCTCAGCCCACTGTGGGCCTTTTCCAGGACAGAAGGGACCGGCTCACCACTCCCACCCACCCTTAGAAAATGTTTAAGATCCTCACTGTCTGCGTCATCCCGCCAGCTGCGCTGCATCTCATACTCCTGCTCCAGGCTGAGTGGTTCAGAGGCGGTCAGGTGCTGCAGCTCCTCTGACTGCATCCACTCATGGTACCTGACAACGGGACCCAGAACCAGATCACTGCCTGCGCTACAGCATCGCGCTCTGATTTCCACAAGTGCTCTAAGGATCAGGCTGCCATAAAACGGTTCTGGAAACACTAGCCTGGCATTCATGGCAACTTAAAAAGTATCCATAAGCCTCTCTCCCTTATCTAACATAGGAATCACTGTTCTCTGTGGAAATTTAGCAAATTTGTCCATCCTGTGGCTTTGTCTGAAGACTGCCTGATGCAAACTTGATGTTTTTAAAAGTACTGAGCGTTGAGTTCCGGTGCATTTTATCCTGACTGAGATTGATACAGCATCTCCTGGACACTGACAAATTGAGTAATACTGGCATCTTTGTGCTGAGGCTGCAGCTGCCCAGGCCAGCACTTTACAAACTGCCTGCACGTCTGCTTCTAATTTATCAAACATCCATCTGGCTTTACACATTGAAGTTTTGCTCTTCCACTGTCATTTTAATGAACAAGAGAACTGTTGGCAGTTCACTCACAGCCAGGTATTTCCCCTTCCGTGGGTACACAGTGGCACAGATGAAGTTCTCTTTGTCAGCAGACCTGGCAAAGAGCACAGATCTGCCAGGGATGTCTGCTGCAGGGCACAGAGGGCAAAACCGGCTGCCTTTCCACAAGTGCTCTTTCTGCTGAGAGGTTCCCAGGGGGAAGAGGGCCCTGCAGCTGTCAAGCCAGCACTTTTTCGGAATACCACACTCCTTGAAAAAGAGAAGTGAAATCAGACAGTGCAAAGAGTATCAGAGGAGGGCACGAGCCACGTACCGGGGCACGTGTGCAGAAGTGTATGGCACCAGGGTCACCCTCTGTCCTTGCAGCACAGTGTTCTGGTTAATCTTCATGGTCTCTGCACTGAAAGAGAGAGACCCGACACCCCACTCCGTGTCTCAAGCAGGGCCAGGGGCTGGGACAGCACCCGCTGGAGCCCTTCGGGAGCCAGCAGTGGCCGCTTTCACTGTGCAGACAGGCCCCAGCTCATACCAATCCCCCCTCCAGCAAGCTTTCCACGTCCGCCGTGCTCCTCCCGTACCCAGGGAAGGGCTGCATTGGGTGCCAGCTGCCCCCAGAGACCCAACAGCGGCCGCGGGTCCGCCCTGACAGGTGCCACTTCATGACCCAGGTGGTGGTGAAGCACCCTGCTCCGACACACCGTGGGCCTCG